TTAGTCTTTGGCGTGAGGAAAGCCAGTTTTTCTAGCAACGTTTATTGAAGAGGCTATCTTTCTTCCAGTGCAGGTTTTTGGTCCCTTGTCAAAGATAAAGTGGCTGGGTGTATTTGGAGTTGTTTATGCATCTTCTAGTTTGTTTCACTGATCCTCAGGTTTGTTTTTTGCCAGTACCATGATGTTTTTATCACTGTACATTTGTAGTATAATTTCAAGTCAGGAACTGTGATTCCCCCTTCCTTATCTTTGTTGGCCCAGAATTGTTTTTGCTATTCTGGGTCTCTTTTGGTTCCAAATAAATTTTAGGATTGTTTCCCCTAATTTTATGAGATATACTATTGGTATTTTGTTCCGGATTCCATTAAATCTAACAATTTTGGGAGAATGGCCATTTTTACCATATTTTACTATGTTGATTCTTCCTACCAAAGAACAAAGGATGTCTTTCTGTTTTCTGATATCCACTTCTAACTCCTTTTTCAGAGTATAGTAGTTATCAATGTAAAGGTCCTTATGTCCTTAGGGTGATTTGTAAGTATTTCATTTTTCTTGATGCTATTGTGAAAAGTGTTTCCCTAATTTCTCTCTCAGTGAGTTTGTTTGTGTACAGGAATGTTACTGATTTTTGGGTGTTGACCTTGTATCCAGCTACATTGCTGAATTTGGTTATTAAATCTGTGAGTGTTTTGGTGGAATTTTTGAGGTCTTCTATGTAGAGTATCATGTCATCTGCCATAATGATAGTTTCTTCCTTTCCTATCCTTATTCCTTTTCTTTCTCTTGTCTAATATCTCTGGCTAATGTTTCCACAGCTATGTTGAATAAGAGTAGTGATAGTAGACATTCCTTGTCTCCTCCCTGATTTTAGAGTGAAAGCTTTCAGAGTTTGACCATTTAGTATGATGTTGGCTGTTGGTTTGGCTTTTATCAGATTCAGATAAAGACTGTCTAATCCAGGGTCAGGGATTTAGCTCAGTGGTGCTGCTGCCTCCCTGGCAAGTGCAAGGTCCCGAGTTCGATCCCAGGTACCAAAAAAAAAGACTGTCTATTCCAGTTTCCCTAGGTTTTTTTTTTATTATCATGAATTAGTGATGGACTTTCTCAAATGCTTTTCCTGCATCTATTGAGATGAGATAATCATGTAATTTTTGTCCTTGCTCCTGTTAATGTGATGTATTATATTTATTGATTTGCAAATGTGGAACCATCCCTGCATCCCTGGGAAGAGTTCTACTTGATCATGGTGTATAATCTTCTGGATAACTTGCTGCATTCTGTTGCCAGTATCTCATTGAGGATTTTTGCATCTATGTGCATGAAGGAAATTGGCCTATAGTTTTGCTTTTTGGTTGGATCCTTCTCTAGTTTTGGTATTAGGTTAATGCTTGCTTTCCAGGAATGAGTTTGGGAGTATTGCTTCCCTTTCAATTTCATTAAAGAGTTTGAGGAGTAGTGGCATTAGATCTTCTTTAGATTCCTTGTGGAATTCAGCAGTGAGCCTGTCAGGATCTGGGCTTTTCTTTGATGGTAGTTTTTAAAATTACTTCAATTTCATTGACTGATATTGATTTATTTAGAATTGTTATATCTTTTTTTTTCCAGTACCAGGGATCGAACTCAGGACCTTGTGCTTTCAAGGCAGGTGTGGTGCCACTGAGCTACATCTCCATCCCAGAATTTTTTTTTTTTTTTGGTACTGGGGATTGAACTTGGGTCCTTACGCTTGCGCCACAGGCAGTGAAACCACTGAGCTAAATCCCCGGCCCTATCCCAGAATTTTTATATCTCCTTGATTCAGCTTTGATAATTCATATGTAGCTAAGAATCTGTCCATTTCTTTTACATTTTCCATCTTTCTAGAATACAAGGTTTTAAAGTAGGTATTGATGATCTGGACTTCTGCAGGTTCTGTTGTGATATCACCCTTTTCATTCCTAATTGCATGGATTTGAGTCTTTTCTTCTGTTGATAAGGTTGGCTAAGCGTTTGTCAATATTATTTCAACTTTCAACAAATGAACTCTTCAATGCATTGATTCCTTGCTTTCTTAGTTCCAGCTGCATTAATTTCTCCTCTGATCTTTATAATGTCTTTCCTTATATGAGCTTTGGGCTTGACTTACACTTATTTTTGTCAACTCTTGAGGTTCAGCATTAGGTTTTGTTTGTTTGTTTGTTTTTGGTACCAGGGATCAAACTTAGGACCTTGCACTTGCGCGGCAGGCTCCGGGACCACTGAGCTAAATCCCTGGCCCAACATTAGGTTTTTTATTTTAGCTTGCTGGTGTTTTGTGATGTGGGAATTCACTGTTAAAAATTTCCCTCATAGGACTGCAGCCCATAAGTGCCAGAATGTCATACTGGCATTATTGTTTAATGGGAGAACATCCCATGTGAACCTGAGAAGAATATGTATTTTGATATTGTGGGGTAGAACACTGTAAACAACTACTAAGTCCATTTGTTCAAAGGTGTGGTTCAGTTCTGATTTTTCTTTATTAATTTTTTTGTTTAGTTGATCTTCTATTAATGACTGGAGTATTGAGGTCCCCCATTACAATTGCATTAGTGTTTATTTGATTTTTCATATCCACTAATATTTGTTTTACATAGTTGGGTGTGCTAGTATTTGCTGAATATATATTTATGATTGTTATCTCTATGTTTTGGATTGTTCCCTTAACAAGGATATGGTGACCTTTGTCTCTCTTGATCAGTCTTGGGTTGAAATATAGTTTGTCTGCAAATCAAATAGCTACTCCTGCTTTTTTCTTGTCACATGGAGTATTGTTTTCTATCCTTTGAATTTCAGTCGATGATTCTTTTTGAGTTAAATGTGTTTCTTGTATGCTGCATTTTGGTGGATCATGTTTTTTGATCCATTATGCCAGTCTTAGTCTTTTAATTGATAAATTGAGACCTTTTACACTGTATGCCTGATATGGTTTTGACTTATCCCTGTCATGTTATTTGTCTACTGATGATTTTCTTTCTTTCCCCCCTTATTAATTGCGAAGATACATTGGCAGGGTATATCAGTCTGGGTTGCAGGTTGTTTTCTTTCAGCGCATGAAATCCTTCATTCCAAGCTCTCCTTTGACCTAGGGTTTGTGTGGAGGAGTCTACAGTGATTTTGATGGGCTTTTCCTTATAGGTGATTTTTTTTCCCCCTCTCACAGTTTTTAATATTCTATTCTTGTGTTAAATTTCTGGATTCTTGACTATTATATGTACCTTGGTGTAGATTTTTTTGTAATCATCACTAATTGGAGTTCTATATTCCTTACATGTATGTCAAATTATTTTCCCATGCTTGGGAACTTTTCTAACATGACTTCTATGAACAGGTTTTTTGTCATTTGCAATATCTCCTGCTTTTTCATTGACTCTGATCAAAGTTATGTTATTCTTCTTTGCATTATCTATCAGCTATTGGATTTATATTTTTTTTTGTGGTCTCTTGCTATTTTTAGGAAATTTTTCTTTTCATGATTGCTAACCACAAACTTTTCTTCTAAATCTGATGTTCTGTCCTCACATTGGTTCATTCTGCTGCATACACTTTCAATATGATTTTTAATCTTCTAGATATGTTTGAATCTGTTTCATGGATTCCATTTCTTTTCAATGTTGGACATTCATGCTTCCCATCATTTTCCTAAGCTCTATTTTTTGTATTTGTATGTACTCTAGATTCACTAAACATGACTTTTTGATCATCATCTCTGTAGTTATATGAGAAATTCTCTAGAGCCTCATTCATCTGCTTTGATATTTCTGCTGCCATTTGAGAAAGTCCAGTGGGGTGGTTTTTTTATTTCTTCCACCTCCATGTCCCTTGGTTTTCCCTTGGTGACTTAGAGGTGTGGAGTTGCATCTTGTTTCCATGTTTTCTCATTTTCTATTTTTTATTTGTTTTCCATGTATGTTTGTAAATTGCTTGTGGTAGGTAGCTTTGATAATAATACTGAGACCTCTCTAGAAAATTATTCATTTTCAGGAATCTTTCCTACACAGAGCTGGCTTTTGGGTTGTGAATCTGCCCTAAGATTCTGTCTCTTTGATATTTTAGGAATTAAAGGCTGGTGTCTGTTTGGCCTAGCATCCATTTCTTTGGTATGGAACTATGGTATTGTTTATGACCTCCAGACAGTGTCTATATTGGCATACATGGAAGAACAACTGATCACAACAACTATGTCATCTTCACTAAAAGTAGTAAAACCAGTAATAACAGTAACATCAAGCACAATCCAGAAAATGACAAACTGTGGTAACTATTAACTTTTCACCTTTAATCATAGGTGCAAGCTTTATAATTATATAACACAATCTAAAACCAATCACAAAATTATACAGTAAACATCCTCTTAACAGATAGATTTTACCTTTAAGGGGAAGAATTTAGAAGGCATAGGAGGAAGAAATAGAGAAGTGAAACAAGAGAATTTAAAAGGGATAAGAGGATAAATAGAGAAATGAAAGCAGAGAAAGAGATTGGAAGCAAGGCTGAAGGGCAAATGAAGATTATCCAAGTAAACAGCAAAACTAAGAAACAGAGTCAGATCATTTGTGCCTTGAGGTCTAGTTTCCTGCTCTACTCTGCCTTGTCCCAATCACTTTTTACTCCTCACTTAGCTGCCACTGCATGCATTCCATTGGGGGTTTTTGTTACATTCAGTGGGAGGAATGCTTCTCATATGCTGGTAACAAATATTGAATTCATTACATATGTTAGGTATTGCTTAAAATATTGCATGCGTTTAATACATTTAATGCAACCATGAGGTAGACTATTGTTATCTGCATTTTACATTTGGGAAAGTAAGGCATTATAAAATTAAGGAATATATGAGTACACCCAGATAGGCAACTGCTAAAGTGGGAATTGTAATCTAATGTAACTCTTTAGAGTCCCAGCAATGTCCTGGCACCAACTTGCACATTCTGAGCACATTGCATAAAACCCCAACCCACCTTCTTATGTGACTTCTACAGGCTGCAGACTGTATTGGAAGGACCAGAGAGACCCTCAAGCTATGCAATGGAAGCAGTGACCTCTGAGGATGTGGCTGTGACCTTCACCACAGAGGAATGGGCTTTGCTAAATCCATCTCAAAAGAACCTCTACAGAGATGTGATGTGGGAAACATTTATGAACATGGCTGCTATAGGAAGAACATGGGATAACCAGGAAATTGATGAGGCATACAAAAATTGCTGGAAAAATGTAACAAATGAAGAGGTAGAAAAATGCTATCAATATGAAGCTTGGAGTCAACATGAAGAAATATGCCTTGGGACCCTAGCTGCTAATGGGAACCTGAAACAAGCTGGTTTAAAACCAGTTGAAAGCTTTGCTTGTGGAAAGTCCTTGACTGGTCATTCATTGCCAAATGTGCCCATCTTGGCTCACACCAGACACCAAACATGTGAGTATGAGGGATTTGAAGAGAAACTGTCTAAATGTAATGAACCTGGGAAAACCTGCAATGATTCCCAATTCTTTCAGAAGTATGCAAGGAGAAAGGCTGTAGAGAAACTATATAAGTATGAGGAAAGTGGGAAATCCTACTCTGATTGTAGTGAAAGAACTCACCCTGAAGTGAAGACCTTTGTATGTAAGAAAACTATGAAAGTCTCTAGCACACCCAATGACATTCAAATCCATGAAGGAAGTGACAGTGGGGGGAATCTGCATGTATGTAAACAATCTGAGAAAACATTCAGTCCATGCAAATATTGGCAGAGACGTGAAAGGAGTCACACTGGAGAGAAACCCTACGTATGTAAGCAATGTGGGAAAGCATTCACTACACAAAATTATTGTAAAATACATGAAAGTATTCACACTGGGGAGAAACCCTATGAATGTAAGCAATGTGGGAAAGCATTCAGTACACACAGGTATTGTAAAATACACGAAAGAAGTCACACTGGGGAGAAACCCTATGAATGTAAACAATGTGGGAAAGCATTCAGTACTCACACCAATTGTCAAAGACATGAAAGATGTCATGCTGGAGAGAAGCCCTATGTATGTAAGCAATGTGGGAAAGCATTCACTACCCAGAGTCGTTTTAAAATACATGAAAGATGTCACACTGGAGAGAAACCCTATGAATGTAAGCAATGTGGTAAAGCATTCAGTACACACAGGTATTGTAAAATACATGAAAGAAGTCACAATGGGGAGAAACCCTATGAATGTAAGCAATGTGGAAAAGCATTCAATACTCACAACAATTGTCAAAGACATGAAAGATGTCACACTGGGGAGAAACCCTATGTATGTAAGCAATGTGGGAAAGCATTTACTACACACAGTCGTATTAAAATACACAAAAGAATTCACACTGGGGAAAAACCCTATGTATGTAAACAATGTGGGAAAGCATTCAGTACACTTGAATATTGGAAAATACATGAAAGAATTCACACTGGGGAGAAACCCTATGT